TATCCCGAGAGAGAAGATACAGTTACTATTTCAGTTAAGTATATCCGTAGTTTGTGGTTAAGATAGCTACTATATGGGGCTTTCATTTTGAAAGAACAGCCTCATCCTCAGTTTCCAGTTAAGATACATTTACTTTCTGGGGATTTTATTTTGAAAAAATAGGTGCATCCCTTGCCTCTTGTTAACAAAAGCTCAGCCTTGCTTTTGAAAAGCAAGGCTCATGCTGAGCTTCAGACACACTGAATTATTTTAAAAAATATAGATTTAAATGTATTTTTACATTGTTTTTATTGTACTTACTTATTATATTTTGTGTACATTATGCATATTTTATACCAGGTACAGTGTACATATACACTGGTAAGCTTAACATGTTGTTTGTTTCTATACAGATGACAATGAAACTCAATGAAAAGTATTCCGAGCTCTGTATGGTTCAGGTGGTCTGAGGTGGTCTGAGGTGTTTTGAGGAGGTTTGATGTGGTCTGGTGTGGTCTGGTTCGGTACAGCTGAGGGCTCACCAGAGACGTCATTGTGAAGCCGATGACCTCGATGCAGCCGTCGTCGTGACGCTGTGGTTCAAAGTCCTGATGTTCACTGGGATGCCCCCAGGGCATGGTGCCAGCACAGTACCTGCAGCACAATTACTGTTACTGGTACTTTACTGGTTGTACTGGAAGTAATTTGTCTTTTACAGGACCTAAATGATAAAGATGTTTTACTTCCTGTCTCAGCGTACCTGGGGATGTTGAGGAAGAGCAGACACTGTAACTTCATCTCCTGGACTTTGGCCGTCAGGTCTGTACCGTCACACTGAGGAAGGAAGAAACAGGCTCAGGTTTCATACACAGACTGTACACAAAGTAGAGAGGAAGCAGCAGGGCTGAGGGTTGTAATATTCTTATGTTTTGTATCATAGACCACTGATAAAGCGTAGGGAATAAAACTGTGCAATATGTTTTATTTTAATGGATATTAATTAATCAGAAAGTCACAAAAGGCACTTTATGGAGTCATCATTATTATTAAAAAGAGGGCTCAGGGTGACAGTTTGTTCCTGAAACATGTCTTCCTCTTTTATAGTAAGGTTTATTTTTTCTTCAACCAATATGTTATTGAAGAAAAAGCATCAACATGTTGTACATAGTGGACAAATAGCATGCAGGGAATCTTGAGTTTTAACAATGCTTCTTCCCAGTTCAGAACGACCCACATGTTTACCCCCATCCCATAAAAAAACTAAAAACCTGTTTTCCGTTTTTTGTTTTGAGGATTAAGAATGAAAAAGCAACCTGTTCCCAGCAGACTACTTACAATAACTTTAGTGTCATGAGGAAAAAATGTATCACAAAATTGAGATATTAGATTTCCACACAAGTATTTTAATTCCCCATTCCCATGATAGTCGGGAAACAACTCGTTTTCCCATTTTGGTCTACGAAGTACACTGACCAATCATACAGGCTCAGTGGTACACGACTGGTTCTCTGTATCAGACAAAACAGAAAACTGGTATTGGAACATCTCTAATTATAACATTATATATATATTTAACACTACCCAGAATCAGTATCAGATTAAATTTGCTGTCATTTAGGAGAGACACGTATGGACACATTTTCTGCTCATCAGCATTGTGAGTGCAGCCATTATCTCAAAATGTCAGATAATCGTCCATCGTCTCTGTACTCACCACCACTTTGATGTGCTTGGCGAGGTCTTTTGAACTCCCGCTCAGGAAATCTGAGAAGGCTGTCTGAAACACACACACACACACACACACACACACACAGATACATTACAAAAGTTTTAACGCAGTAAACAGACGAGACCAGAGAGGACACTTACTCCTGCATAGAACATCTTATTCCTGAAGCGGCTGTTAAACTTCTCCGGGTTCGCCTCTGAAACACAAAGCATTCAACCCGTTCAGCACATAAAGGAATAAAAATACAGAATAATAACCAACTTATTACATAAAACAAAAGAAGAAGATGATATACTGTGGTTTCCACCCATCATTTGGTGTCATTATATGAATTAGAATAGATACATTTTCATTGATCCCTGTTGGGTAATCAGGTCAGTGAGCAGCAGAGGAGAGGATGTAGATAAGAATAGAACAAATACAGTACGAGCACCAAAGATAACACAAAGTAATTACAACAGAACATACTGAGGATAATTATTAAAGATTAACTGGTGTCTGATGGAAATGTACAGGTTAGTGGACATTTAGCAGGTTCTGGTCTGAACAATAAAGCATGATAACGTTGCTTTTAGTACACATTAATCTGTGAAATATTTGGTTTAAGAGTCTTGGTGACTTCAAACTAGGATAGCTGGAGAACTGCTGTAGGTAACTGCTAACATGCTAGCAAGCTGTGCACACTATCAGCAACCAGGTTTATCGTGTTGGTGTGTGAGTGGACTGACCTCTGGATTCATGGAAGCCCAGCGTGACGTGAGCATCGAAGCCCAGACTGAAGTAATTGTTGAAGACGTCAATAGGAAGCTGAGAAACAGCAGAGCTCGTCAGACAACAGAGAAACACTGAAAACAGCCTTTATAGATCACAGCGAGGATAACGGACTGACCTTGTCTGTCTGATGTTCGTCCTGGTCCTCCGGTCGGGCCTCGGGGTTCGCTTCCACGTTCAAGTTCCACCGATCCAGCTGGACGATGTTTCCGTCCTCGACGTGCGAGAGGATCTTTGTTATTGGTTCATCGGTGTAACCCTGAGAGAAAGAGGAGGCCAAAGTGGGTTCATATCTGTACTGTCTTATATAAAGCAACAGCACTGCTTTAGTTTATTTATTCTGGTTAAACTAAAGGTCTATCTCTGTAGGGATCCTGTCCATATCCACCAGGGTTTCTCCTTTGCACTTAGAAAGGGAGGATGAAGCAAGGGAGTTGCAATCAACAACTATATCACTCGATGCCACTAAATCCGACACCCTGATCCTTTAAGTAAAGTAGAACTCACCCCTCCCCAGTTGAGAGTCCTCGCCAGGTCATTGCCCGTCCCCAGAGGAAGGATGGCCACGGGGGGCTGAGGACGGAGCTTCAGCTGGTCCAACACTGACAAGATCCAGCCCACCTGAACACATACAATCAGAGACATGCTTAAGTCTCACAGCTGTATTCAGCATATTTAACTACATCTTTACCTTTAGCTACCTGTTACTGTTATAAACGATTTGTTCTTATTTTTTTCTGTTAAAAGTGTTTGTGCTGGCGCCCGGTTAGCTTAGTGGGTAGAGTTGGCGACCCATGTACTGAGGCTGAGTCCTTGCTGCTGCGGCTCAGGTTTGAATCCGACCTGTGGCCCTTCGCTGCGTGTCATCCCCTCTCTGTGCCCCCCTTTCCTATCCGTCTTCAGCTGTCACTATAATAAAGGCAATAAAAGCCCCAAAAATACTTAAAAAAAAAAAAAGTGTTCGTGCTGCACGAAACACAAGACCCAATGTCTCCAGAATGGTTAAAGTCGGCATAATTCATTACAACAAGTATAAATTTTTAGTGAGGTAAACTTCTCTACAATTTACTGAACTTGCGGGTGATTAATTTAAATTTTTGGACATTTGGAATCTGAAATGTCAACAAACTCTTTAACAATTAAAATTTTTTTCAAAACCCGCCGCCACAAAGTTCAGTAAACATCCGTCAGAGCAAGCCTTTACCCTCACTACAACCTAGAAGTACTGCTTCGCGAATTCATGAACTACAGTATCGGACAATCTGCTCCGATACTGCCAGAAAATGCTAGGCATCGGCCTAATCCACGGCGAGTACTGGAGTCCACGGCACCGATCGATAACACAGTAATTTATTAAAATTCAGTAATCCTCTATTTTGTACTGTTAGTCCGTTCAACGCTCTGCATACCAGTTCTTTCACTTCGCCGGCTCTTCCAAAAACAGTGCGGTGGCTGAGCTGCAACCTGCTGTTTCTACGAGGAGAAGACGGAGCGAATTTGATCACGTGACAACAGAACACACACCCCACAACACACACAAACATGTGTCCAGGCCGTGTTTGAATGCGAGCTTTGGCAGCCTACCAGCTCAGTACGCAACCACGTCATCCCATCCCGTTCAAAGCGTGTGCGCTTACTTTCCACGCGGAATCTCCCACCAAGTTAAGGCATTGCGACATGTCAACGCTGTGCGGCAAAGATAAGCACATTCAAGAGGGTTGGACCCACGAGCTGTCCCTGCCTCCAATTCCTACCAAACGAAGCAAATTTAATGAAACCACCCTGCACGCCACCCGCATCACACCCCTAACAGGACACAACACACGCCAACCAAGCTCCACTGCCCAGCGAGCTTACGCTGTGACTAAATTCTCTTTTTTACATAAACATACTGGTAATCACAATCGGTACTCGGTACCTCAGCCGATACCCCAAGCACCAAGTATCCGGCAATCGGTACATCAGAAGGGAAAAAATGGTATCGGCACACAATCTCATTAAACTACAACTTTTGGTCCCTCCACAAGTCTTTATTCAAATGCTACAAAAATCTGCGGACTCAAAGGTTCAGTGTTTGAATCTCCAGGTGGCCAATGTGATAATTCATGCATGTGTACGCTTTTAAGTGCTTCTTCCTGCTTGGATCCAGATCCAATGAATCCATTAATATTTGATTAATATCATTATATTTGTTATGATTATTATTACTTTAGAGAGAATATAAATGTTATCACACATGCTGTGTTACTTTAGACTGGCGGAGTCAGTCAAACAAGTGTTTGAGGTTGTGTGTACAGTATGTGGTGAAGTGGACTCACTGTCCCGTCTCCCCCACAGGCAAGGATCCTCAGGTTGGGCACTTTGGCATACAGCTCCAACCTGCAGGGAACACAAAGCAAAATGTGAAAGGTTTTAGACTCAGACAGAAACTCTGCTCCAAACCTACAGGTCTGAAGAGACTAGAAGGACTGAAGAGGTCTGTGTATTACAGCAAGAACTAGGGAGCCTTAGTGGGGATAGTAACTGATTGTTTGAGATATATTTGAGGTGAATTTAATATGTATAACATTCAAATGTAATTATTATTTTTTCTGCATTTATTGATATTATAATCTGAAATTAATTAATGAGCCAAAATGGTTTTGGAAAAGTTGAAATTATGGAAATATTTCTTATCATCGTACCCCTCTTTGGGTCCTCCCTTCGTCAGGTCAAACACCTGCCGAGGGTTCAGATACCACATGAAAGACTGGATGATCTTGGCTCCCTGAAAGTAAAAATAAAACAACAGAAGATTTCAAGTGGCAGTAAAGTACAGTTCAACATAACAAACTCAGCTCACACTCACACTGTGGGGACCTGTTTCCCTTATGGGGACATTACCTGGTTTCCGCCACTCTTTGGATTCACGAACACCAGCAGAGGCTTCATGAGCTGAGAGGGGAGAGGCTTCACCAGGAAGGGCTTCCAGCGGCCATCTTGGAGCTGAGTAGAAACATCCAGGACACATTCACAAGTGTGGCAACCTCATAACCTCATCACATTACATTATCCTAACTCATTAACCTCAATACAACAGATAATCTAAATATACGACAGCCACAGACTCAAGGTGACTACAGCAGACTCTGATACTGTGCTTTAGATTTATAAAACATCCTCCTGTGTCACTTCCTCACCTCTGCTCCCTTCTTGCTTGACTTGTTGCATTTCAGTGACGTCCTTTTCTTCTTTTTACTGGACTTTAAAGACGTCTGCAGAAAGAAAGACAAACAACATCAGTGGCTGTATGTGTGTCACAGCCATTTTACCGTGCGAGGACCCAAACCCAGTCACACACGGAAGGCCTGGAATGAAATCCTTTTTAGAACAAGGCCACTTTGGCCTCTGATAAATACAAACTTATTGGGGCATTAGGGCCAAAATGTAGGACACTGAGGCCAAAACTACTGAACTATATATATAGTACATAAAACATGATCTCAACAGTAATACAGCAGTAATATTAATCCATAAACATCAGATATAATATTAAACACTGACGTCCTTCAGTCAATGTTACTCTGATACTTTATATGAGGAATACTTCCTCCACCCACAGACTCACTGCATCCTTCCCCTTTAAGAAAGGTGGATTGTGGGTAACTGAGTGTGTGATCCGTTAGCTAGTTAGCTGCTAGCAGTTTGACCCGCGGCTTCCAGCTCTGAAACGTATCTGTGAGACCTCCAGTTTTATTTGAATTGTCTTTATCCTGACTCATAGCTGAGCTCATCCACACCCTGACAAACTGCCCCTCTGCTAACATAAAGATGCTAACAGCGTTAGCATTCTGAATGTCAGAAATGTGGAGCTGCTGTTGATGTTCAGTGTGATCAGTTTATCTCTCCTGTAGTTTAATGAGGACAGACGGACTGTGTGGGTAGTTAGCAGTGAATGTAGTAAATGTACCCGACCCGTAACTCACCTTCACCCTGGAACAGTAGTAGAAGAGGGGAGGTAAAGGAGGGAGACGTCATTTATAGGGGATATATGTATATATAGATATATGTCTGCCTCAGTAGGGCCGATGACAAGAACTAATTACATAAATATACACATATGACATTAAAAGCTGATTTATTTCTTTAAATCCTAAACCCACCACCATGACTGAAGGATCGGCTTTACTTAATAAAGTTGAACTGGTTTGTGAAAATAGTTTAGATTCAGGACAGGGAGGTTCCTATCTGTGAGCCAATACATATCTGTGTTTAACACAATCTAAGGTAAATGTAGTGTAAGGTGTTTAAAGTATATATTTTCATGATTATTGTGATAATATGGGGTATCGTTATTACTTTGGCCAAGATAATCCTGCCATTATATTTTCATGCCTAGTGCTCACAGAGTCAGCAGACTGAGTTATAATACATATCAGAGCAGAATAAATGTGTATTATTAGAGTTTTTGTACATTCAGTCTGCCACACTCTCTGTTTTATTACAGCAGCCATAGACAGCATCATCCTGTCTCACTGAATCCTCACAGCTGTTTGATCCGGTTCCATCAGACCACAGAAGGTTCTGGCTCTTCAGCTTTCACACAGTAATGTTCACTTTCATTAGCAGTGAAATGCTTTCAGTCAGGAACACAGTGGAGGACATTTACCCGATTCTGTAAGCCTGATATCCACTGCAATGTGCTGCAATCCAAACGTCAGACAGAGTTCAAGAAGAAACGATGAGAGAGCGAAGGATGAAGATGAAACAAGAGACTGAAGGAAAGACGGCAAAACATACGAGAAAACAACAGACGGAGTCCTCTGAGCTGATTTTATAGCCAGTGGAGAAAAACACACACACACACACACACAGTGCAGTTAACACATCCCTGTGGCAGGACTGTCATCTGGACATGAATGCCTGAACGGATAATAACCACAAAGAGACGTCGTTACTGCTACACACACACGCAACAAAGACACAACACAACCACCGTGTGTGTGTGTCTGTGTGTATTACAGTGGTAGAGCCTCCCTTGCAGTCGGTGCTGAGTCAGATGAATGATGGACAGAAGAGGAGAGAGATACAGAGCGGTGAGCAGACTGAAGCAGATCTAACTGGTGGGACTCTCTATGAGTCTGTGACCGACCCAGTTTCAGTCAAACAGGCTCCCAACGAGCACAACAACTAATGTAAGTCTGTATGAGTGATTATCACACAGAGCCTGTTCAATCAGCTCCAGGTAGGTTCTGCTGTTCTCCTTACAGACCCCCTCAGGAGGCTTCTGTCCTGCTGAAGGTCCGTTACAGACCACATCCTGTAGTTTGAGCAGGGTTAAAATGATCCTGAACGATGAGTTCAATCCCAGAGGAGGAGACATCGTATAAAGGAATGTAACTGAGCTTCTTTTTCTCTTCACTGAGCTCTTAAGTACAGACATTGACTCTTTAATATCTATTTAATATATATAAGTTAACAAGAAGCTTCTTATGATATATTGTCATATTGTAGCTGTAGCTGGCTAAAGTTAGCTTGCTTGCTAATGTGGTCCAATTGCTAGCTAATTAGTGTAGCTAAATTGTTAGCTATACACCTTAGCTTTGTAGTACTACATCATTTATCGTTGGCTAAAATCAGCTGGCTTAGTTGGTTGCTAAATAATATTTGAGTGGATATGTTAGTTGGCTAACGTTAGCTGGGGAAGCTTTATGATACTAAGTGAGGCAGCAGCGTCATTCACGTCGTAGGAACATTACAAACTAAATATGATTGGTATTTATTTTACAGCATTCAGTCTTGTGTTTGCTGCCGCTTAACACCGCTAGGTCTGACACCAGTTAGGCTCCGCCCACAAAACACACCATTGCTGTTTACAAGCACAAAAAGGTCTCCGTTCTCATCGCAGGCAAATACAAATATATGACTAAAGAGCAGTCACAGCTGAGTTCAGAGAGATTGTCGAGAGCAGGAAGAAAATAAATTTCACAATCTGTCACAGAGAGAGCGAGGAGGTCGTATTAATGCGCGTGCTCGCCCTGCAGCCTGCGTGTGTGTCGGTTGGAGCCAGAAACTGAGTCCTGGCGGCAGACGGTTTGAGGGTAGGAGGGTTCACAGGAGGACAGGGGTGATGTGATTGGTGCAGGTGCTCAGCGAGACACCGATCATCAGAATCCTGAAATACCAGCACGGAGAGGAAAATGTGTCTGGTCTCGGGCGAGAAGAAGGAGGCCAAAAATAAATAAGTGTGGCAGCTTGTGAAGGAGAGGAGGGCAAACATCAACAGCATGGGTGGAGGGAAAGACACACAGGGACAGATGACGGGGGATTATAATGATATGAAGGAGAGGAGGGAGCTTTAATGAGGGAATCATATCAGGATTAAAAGAAAAAAGTAAAAACGACAACGGCTCCAACCAACATCTGCATTATTGATTAACCCCTTCATTCTGGTTGATACTTTAGTGAATAAAATGTCGAACCAGTAAATGTTTGACATGCTTTTCTAGATAAATGATGGTTCACTGATTGCATTGTTGTAAAAGTAAAGCACAGAGTGAATAATAGTGTAGTTTTAAAGGACTAATACCACACTGTAAAATCCTGCACTGCAAACGTTACATACGAGATTTAAAACACGAAACTGAAAGTGCTGTTTTATTATCCAACTCTGTGAAATAATGATGATGAGTTGGTGATTGTTGGAAAGACTTACAAAGTTTTATTTTATTTTATTTTTATTTTTTGTGATATTCAGGTATTATGGAGGCAGCTTCATGCAATATAAAGTCAATGGAGAATGACGGATGGTTTTCACTCTGTGTGGGCGGGACTTAATTGCGCTCTGTCTTTATGAGTTGTAATGTTAACTGCTAACTAGCTAGCTGTTCACAGTGCGGTCCAACTCAGCTGTGAAGAGTAGAAGACATCGTCACATTCTGAAGGAAAGCATGTAAATTAATTCCTGTAGTCCTGAACGTGAAAGCATTTTTAAACGACTGATTTATTTCCCGCCTGTGTTCTCCTCTTTAATAATGATCAGTTAACCTGTTAGTCTGTTGGAGATAACAACGAGCTCCTGCTGGATGTTGAGCACAAATATAAATGCAGACAGGATGTCAGTTATCAGTTTGTTGGTGCCGACAGCAGCAGCAGCAGCGGTGTGGAGAGAGACGTCAGGATTTATTGTTGAGCTGTCTGGATTTGTCATGGACCCAATTTAATGAAACCCCTTTGATAGAAGATGCTGACTTAATAACTGTGACACACTTTCTCTCCCCGCTTTCTTAACCAAACTTTTCTCTGACAGCCAGATCAAAAGCGGTTTGCAGATAAATGAAAAAGTATTAATGGAAGGACACATTTGATACAATATGTTTTAGGGTTAATGTACAAAACAACAGTCTGTCTATATGTCTGTACATACATTTTTTTAATCAATAATTATAATTTCCTCTTCAATTATTATTATTTTACACAATGAATGGCAATTTTGGCAGCCTGAACATGCATCCAAAATGCATGAAAGCGGCACACGTCAGCGGTGGCTAACATTTACGTGACATTTTAGAAATATTGAAGTCCAAAAGCTAGGTGGGTTAAGGGGGATGGAAAGCATCCAAGTAAAGTTATTTTTACGCAATTATTTCATAACTTTTATTGTACACCCCTCGGAAAAAAACAGAGGATTTCATATACTGGAACACCGACTGATAACACTGCTAGTTCACTGTCTGTGTGTGTGACTATATGTGAGGGTTTCTTTGGCTGTTACCATAGTAACTACCCAGTTCACTGCTTCCTGTTTGTTGCTGGAGAGAGACTGCTCTCATTGGCTGTAGCCTGTTGCATCTGACACAACCAGATATTTAACCTAGTAGATATATTTCTGCGAGGCATCGGCGAAGCGTCGGCGAGCCCTCAGTCTTTGAACAGTTCACACACAGTGATCGTCCTCACAGGAGCGAGCGCAGATTAGCGTCTGATCTTGGGACATTTGTCGGCTATCTCCAAAAATAGTTGTTTGATTTGAGTGGACTAAAATCATAGTGCTAACATTTTCCTCCTTGTGGAACCAGGTGAAATCAGGAGGTTAAGCGGGTCGTTCACTAATCAGAAGGTTGGCGGTTCAATCCCCGGCTCCTTGAGCAACCCCAGATTGCTCCTGATGCTGTGAATTAATTGTAATGTAATAAGGAGTACAGTTTAGACCTGCTCTATTTGAACAGTTTCATGAGATAACTTTTGGTATGAATTGGCTCCATACAAAAAAACT